ATGTTATTGTGATCCAGTCATCTAGCGGAGTATGGATGACGACCATAGACTTTTCTAGACAGTCCAGTGGAACACTGGCATGCTCGCAACCTGTAGGTGTTAATGAATTTTGGTGTTCTTTTGTTGTACTCCATCCCCCACATGGTTGCCTTATTTGACATAAATTGCTGGGAAACCCCCAAAGCAGTGTTGTCGCCCCGATGAAAATCCTTAGACTAGGTCCCTTGTGATAGTTGTTTTAGGGGCGTAAAGTGAGGATAACGGGAATGGGTAATCGGGTTATTGTTGTTTGATGAAATGAATAAATTTATTTATTGTGGGTTGAAAACCCTATATGCTCACCAGGCTCCCAAGCCTCACCCACTCAGTTTTCTTTGTATTACAGGTAGTGGCGTGAGAGCATAAGTTGAACGACTTATCAAGATATCTTGATTATAGGCCTGTAGTGTATATAACTGTTGTAAGGCTTATAATGTGCCATTTATGCTTTTGGTCTGTATCAGAACATGACATCCCGAGTTTTGTTATATAATAAATATACATTTCTTTAAGAAATGCCTTGGTAAATCTTATTTTATCATATTTCATTTTGGGAACAAATTCCGCAACTCTTCTAATCAAAGGATTACTCTGAAATTATTTTAAAAGCATAAATTAAACCGGTCTTTTCTGGCCGTGAATTTGGGGATGTCACACTATATATATATTTATCAATATACATCTCTCAAATTGTGGTGAGTAAAATCTTTTCCTCACATGGTATTATTCGATTACGATCCTTAAACCTAATTTCTTCTATCCCTATCTTTTAGATCATATTCAATCAGCTACTCCATGGACAATCAAACCACTACCGTCTCTCTCCTTTTTTCCACTATGATTCATATGATAATCATTCAACTTAATCCTAACAACTATTTACTATGGAAGAATCATATTTATTTGATTCCCAAAGGTCAAAATCTCTTTGGTTATCTTGATGGCTCCATCAAACCTCCCTCTACTCTGGTAACAAACGATCAAGGCGAGATGGTTTCGAATCCAAAATACTTGGAATTGTATCAACAAGATCAAATAATTCTCAGCCTTCTAAATTATTCTCTCACAGAAGAAGCAATGGCAGAAGTCCTTGAATGCCAGATAACAAAGGAAACGTGGCTAGCATATGAATATGCATATGGTGACGATTCTCCCTCTCGTGAATTGGCAACTCGAGACCTATTGGAAAAACTAAGCAAGGGTCAAAATTTAGTGTGTGAATACGGTAAGCAATTTTGAGTCGTAATGTGATCAGTTAGCTACAATGAACAAGCCCCTCAACGAGACACATAAATCCCACTGGTTCATCAAAGGTTTAGGGTCTGTATTCACCTCGTTTGCAACAACTCAAATGGCTCATATCACGTTGCCCAAAATTCGCGAGGTTCAAATTATTGTTGAGGGATACGAATTGCTTCTCAAATCCATGGAAGTTGTTGTACCCCTTGCTATATTTTATTCTAATAAGACTTCTACTGGATGGCGTCATGGTTCTTCTAGTAGCAGTTCTGGAAACTATGGTCGGAATCATGATTCTAACAACTGTGGTGGTCATTCCTCTGGCAATAATCATGGACGTAGTCGAAATCACACATACACACCAAAACGCCAAATTTGTAAACAAGTTGGCCATTTTGCTAATAAGTGTAGGAGTCGATAAAATCATGAAATTCCATGATAGCTTGCTTTTTTGTATATATTTTAACATCGTTTTCTTTTAGTTTTAGCAATTTTAATATTCTTTTTGCATTAAATCGTTAGATTTATTGTTTTGGATATTTTTTACTCGTTTAAGCTATTTTTGTGTGGATTTTTACAAGCACGTTGGTATTTTGGAGCATCTTTAAAGCCACATCGAATGCATTTCAAACACAATTGAACTCCCATAGCAAAATCTGTTAGTTACAAGAAAAAAACAAAGCAATATAAATTAATTTTCGGATTTTGACAGTTTTGTGCGACTTATTTCAAAAGATCATACGGAGGGGTTAACTTTGTCCGATTGAGATGAAAATTTACAGATGTCTTTCCATCTAGTTGATCTTCGATCTCACCGAAAATGAGTTGATTCTGACATGTTTTGATGTGATTTTCGGCCGCATGAACAACAATGCATAATGCTGCCAGCTTCAGCTTTTGACAGCCCAATACATAGAGCTTTTTGTAGACCATTTTCGGATTTAAGTTAGCCCAATATCAGTAGCCCAATTGTATTTTCAAGCAGCCCAATAGCAATTTAGTTGAGCCCATTGTCTTGTGCTTGTAGTGGGAAGAGAACGACAACTATGTAAAATAACATTAGGGCATTTTAATCCCAATTTTCACATGCCGGCAAAAGGGGCTTGGTGTGTCTTTTCTTTTGCTATTTCTTATTTTTTTGAGTATTGTATTTATGATTTTACCATCTAGTTTGTTAATGAGTTATTTATCATTTTTAATTAGATTAAGTTAAGTTAATAATTGTATTAATACTTTGACTATGGATAGAGTTTTTGGAACAACAAGAAATGACGATTTCAAAATGTTTTTGTTATCTCCGTTTGGCAATCAGTATTGATAAAATTTTCTATCATTGTATTGTTATTATTATTATGAGTAGTTAGTTTTTATTTCTAATGTTGGGTGAATCTATAGAATAATTAATTGATTATGAATAATTTTGTGTGGGTTATGAGAGTATTCTGTGAAAGTATTTTATAGTAAAACATATATTTATATCCATTTGTCTTTAATAATGAGTTTAAATATCTGAATGTTTAATTAGTTGGTTAATTTATTGATTACATAATAGATCTTCAAATTAAAAGACAACAAATGGTTCTTGTAATTGTTTTTCCTTCACACAATCATGAAAGTATTTTCTTCAACATGGTAGTAAAAACATTTTGACTCCTTTTGGATTTGGTAGCTTTTAAATCTTAATGCTAGTTAATTTTTATTAATTACATGCTTCATAGAAATTGCGACTTTAACAAAGAAAATGTGTTATGAGCTTCTTTAGCCATTGTATTAACTAAGAAAAGTCTAGGTAATCTCAATCATCTTAGATTGCTATTGCTAAATTAGAATCTATCAAACCATTGCACCACAAAATTATGATGATTAGTCAAATAGTTGAACTTGCAATTCAACCCAACATTGGAACGTTTTGTTTTATAGATTGTATATTTTTTAATTCTAGTTTTTTTATAAATTAGTTTTTATCGTTTTTAATATTTTCAGAAAAAAAAAACTCTTTCATTTTATATTTTTATTATGTAGAAACTGAACGCATAGATTTGATTCAAATCAATCCCTGTGGATTCGACTCTTACTACCGCTACTACAGTTCGTTTTGTATGTCATCGTATTTAAGGTTCTTTTATTTGGTGGACTCGACAATCACCAAATTTTTGACGCGGTTTTTGGGGATTGGTTATCCTTGAAATTTTTTTTTCTATGCTCAATTGTCTGTATGTATATATTTATTATGTTTCTCTTTCTTTTATTATTATTTTTGTTTTCATGCATTTTAGGTTATATATTTAGTTGCTTTTTTAGTTTACATTTTAGAGCATTTTTTTATGAAAAATCCGGAAAGATTTTAGTTTATTCTTTTTAGATTTTCATTTTAGCTTAAGTTTTGGATGCTATTTTCTAATTTTTTTTTATGTAAAATCCCTAAAGATTTTACATTCTTCTTTTCCATTTTTATTTAGCATAACATTTAGTTTAAGTTCATTTACAAGTATTTTTGTTGTCTCTTTATTCTCACATTTGAACATCTTTAATTGCAAGTCTTAATGCGCCATATATGCAAATCTTTTTGAAACAATAAAATTGCTAACATGGACTTTTATTTGTCAAATCTTCTTATAACACACATAGGGTAGAGATACAAGCAATTTATGCAAATGAATCGACTTATTGCAAGCATGACATGATGTGTGGGACAAATTAGTCCTAAAGTCTTAGAAACATGCCCCCACGAGCGTATTACTTATTAAGCATAACGATCTTTTAAAGAAGGGAACAAGAACTAGAACTTTACTATTTTGATATTTTTAGTGTCTATCGATTACACTTCATATCATATCATCTCACGATATAGACACAATTTCCTATTTGATCTTAATTTAACTTTTGTTTAGTTATGTTTAGCTTTTTCATTTAGTTTTGCTATATTATATGTTGTTTAGCTATTAATATAGCTTGTACAAAGATGTTGTCTCTAATTTGTATATAAAAAAAGACAACTATCTCTTTTTAGTATTGTTGCTTTTGTTTATATAAGTGTCTACATAGCTTTTTTTTTTTTTTTTTTTTTTGAGTTTTATAAATCAAAGGCTAATTGTTTTAAAAAGTTGTTCGGAAATTTTATACGTCTTTATTTTTGTTAGAAAAGTCAAGTTTTGATCTTACTAAGTTCATTTTTGTTGATTTTAGTCTTAAAGAGTAAATTACTAAAATCGTCCCTGTGTTTGATTAAAATTACCCATTTGGTCCCTAACCTTTTTTTGCACTCGGACCATCCTTGTGGTATGAGTTTATTGCGTTTTTGGTCCTTGTAGGTTTGAAAAGACTATATTACCCTTTCTATTTTTTTTTATAGTTTTTTTAATTATTTGTCTATAATTAATGAATTACCCCCCACCCCTACCTCTTCATCTCCTCTAAACCTTCTCTTTTTCTCTCATCTCTGTTAATCATTTGAAGAGAACCACAAACGAATAGAGCTCAGCCGATCACCACCACACCCCCACCGGAACTGCTGGATAGTTGTCGGATGTGCATTTTGATGCTTATGTACAACAACAAAGAGGATGAATGGCATCAACGCCACCACCACAATGATTTTTGATGATACAATGCTTTCTGAAATCACCTGATGCATCTCCTCCATCGTCGCTCGATTTATGCGTGATTGTTCGATTTATGAACCCTAAATCACTGAACTCAAAGGCCGTTGCTTACCATTATCAGACCGTATCCACCTTCCATTACTGGACTACCACCTCCTATATTATCTACTCCGCCTCACAGCTCTAGATCTGCAAAATCGAGATGCTTTTGTGTACAGCCCTAGCTACTCCGCCGTCCTCAGTCTCTCGCCGGAAATGTCAGCGACAACCACCATCGTCTAGTCTGTTTCACATCTACTCCGTCTCACAGCCCTTACTCTGCAGATCGATGTAGCTTTGTGTGTGTACAACCCTAGCTCTGTAAATCGATCCTAGGTTTGATTTTCATTTCTAAAATTCGAAATAAGAACATTATTGATCTCGATTTTCATTTATGGAACTTAATTTTGTTTCTGAATTTTGAATAACCACACAAGGTTTATTTTGATTTTCATTTCTGAAATTCGAAATAAGAACATTATTCATCTCAATTTTCATTTATGGAACTCAATTTTGTTTCTGAATTTTTTATTTTGATTTCAACACCGATTTATGGAACAGGTTTGATGTTTGGATTGTTTTTTTTATTTTGGTGTTTGGTTTGATTTCAAAAATTTGAATAAGAAAACATGTTTGATTTTGATATCGATTTCAATTTCTGGAACACAAGTCTGATCTTTGATTTTGGTGTTTTGTTTGGTTTGCTTATGATTTTGGTGTTTAGTTGTTTCTGAAATTTGAAATAGTAACACAGGTGAAGGGTGGTCGGTGTGGGAGGTGAAGGGTGGTCGGTGTGGGAGGTGAAGGGTGGTCGGTGTGGGAGGTGAAGGGTGGTCGTTGGCGGAGGGAAAGGGGGAGGTGGTTGTCGGTTCCTTTGCAAGGTGGTGGTAGTAGCTTAGTGGGTCCCACTTATCTATAATTTATTTAATATATTTTTTATAATTAATAAATAATAGTAAACAAATTAAAAAAAAACTAAAAAAGAAGTATAAAGGGCACTATAGTCTTTTTAAGAGAGAGGGACCAAAAACGCTACAAACTCATATCATAAGCACGGTCCGAGTGCAAAAGAAATATTAGGGACCAAACACATAATTTTGACCAAACCATAGGGACGATTTCAATAATTTACTCTAAAAGAAATTGTTTAGAAAAGTCCGATATTATCACGACATACAATACGGATATAGTCCGATGTTTTAGTATTTTCCTCGTTATGTTTTTATAGGTTTTATGTTAGTAGGTTAAATCTTTGTATTTGTATTTGTAGTTGTATTTTTTGGGTTTTGTTATCTAAAAAGGTAAAAAATAAAAAATAAATAATAATAATAATAATAATAAAAATAATAATAATAAGGA